ATACATATCTGTGGAGATATTCAAAGTAGACATTTTAATATAAATTCTATTATCATGAAAAAAGTCTTCGTCTCACGACATATCGTCTTCTTGGAGAAAATGTTTACTCTAGAGGAGGACAGTGGGAGCAAAAAATAAAACTTGAAAGAGTTCAAGAGTCCGCATATATAGTTAACTAAGTAAATAAATCCGAGTTTGATCTCATATCTGTTATGGGACATACTTTTGATCTGGAAGTAGAGACTCCTGAGGACATGATAGCTCTATTTAAATCTAGTAGGATCATTCGACCTTGAAGAATGTGCAAATCCACGATTACTAATAAGGTATTACTGATCCATGATAATGAACCTGCTAGTTGCACCAAAATAAAGTCAAGTGTTGACTTAAAAGAGACAACAAGATGCCATGAAACTCGAGATCAACTCGGCGTATGTGAACAAGGTTTGGACCTTGGTCGAGCCTCCTGATGGAATAAAACCCATAAGTTTTTGTAAATTGCTTACAAGGAAAATGTCGATATGGATGATAATATCCATATAAACAAAGCAAGGCTATAGCAAAGGTTAAGTGTTGACCTTGGTGAAACCTTTCTCCTGTAGCCTTGCTGAAGTTTATTCGAGTTTTGCTTGCAACAGTTGCATACCATGACTATAGGTTAAGAGAAGTCTCTTGGAGCCTAAATCTTCGATTTGATGAAAAAGTGAAAGTGTTTGATTTTATCAAATTTGAAGACGAATTGTGTGTTTACAAGAAGATAGTGGGAGCATTGTCGTATTTCTAATATTATATCAAACGACATCCCTATGTTTCAATCATTGAAATAATGGTTGTTAAAGAATTTATTCATGAACGATATGGAAGAAGCAACTTGATCTATAGAGGTAGATCTAGAAGATTGCTTAACTCATCACAATTTACATAGATGAACTCTTTAGAAGATTTCATATGGAGAAACTGATTTACTCTTAAGTGGTATGTTGGAAAGGTTCCAAACGTGAAGCAACCGTTGATTCAATAGTAGAAACCTAATATATGATTACTTCAGAAATAGCAAAGAGTTGCAATGTGGATCATGATGTTCATAAATGAACTTGGAGTAGTTCCTGATATTGTTGATCACGTGATATTATATTGTGATAATAATAGAGCCATTGCGAAAGCATAGGAACTAAGGTCTCATCGATGATCCAAACATGTATTAAGGCGGTATAATCTCATCAGAGAGATAATACATAGAAATGACGTAAGAGAAGAACAAATTCCCACATTTAACAATATTGCAGATCCACTGACAAAGAATTGTCGTAGCCTAAACATGATCGTCGTGTAGACTCGTATGAACTAGATATATAAGTGATTGGATCTAGTGCAAGTGGGAGTTTGTAAGTATTATGTCTTAGGTCCAATCAATTTTGGACATAAATACTTTTGATATATAATTAATGTAATTTATCCATTATTTATTTAATAGATAATTAAATAAATAATAGAGTCCGTAAATTCAAATTTTCATAATTTGTTAATCACAATGAGTTGTAATTGTGAGATACAAATTACATATGATTGGATCTTAAATTGTCCATGGTCGTAAGTAATAACGAGATACGGATATCGTTATTACGGATTGATCATTACGTGTGACATTTCTTACTTGTGAAGTAAGTAGCTGATCTCACAAGTTAAAGTGTGGTGACACTTAAATGAACACGTTGATATTTTGTTATAGAACAAAATATTGGAGACCTGTCGAGAGATTCCACATAGATAACTATTTGAGTGTCAATGGTTAATCTTTAACGTTCGGTAGTGGAATTGGTCCTTTTGACTTGAGGTCGTCATAATACCTTATATGAGGACGGTCATACTTTGACGGTGTTGGATGTTGCTCTGCCGAGGGCTGCTAATACGGCATCGTTCGGATATGTTAAGAATCGTATGAAGGTTGTGAATGACTAATAGAAGATTCGTCACTCTTAGATAGTAGGAGATTATGATCTGCATTTCATTCAATTAAGTTGATAACGAAATCCTTGGTCAATGTGTACTCATAAATCGAAAATGAGTTTTTGACTTATATTGACTTAATAGTAGAGTAAAAGATATGATCGATAGTCGGGATTGACACAGTTCCATATCTCGTAATTGATCAGATCATATTGACGAAGGGATTATAGTTTCACGGTAAACGAACGAGTTTGGTTTTGTCATATCACATGACATTTTTCGTTACATGTATTGTCCTAACACATTGCTAAATGTCAATTTGGGACGGCGAGTGTGTATCGGTGATAAATTAAAAGGGTATTTTAATTTATCAATTTTAATTAGATCAAAATAATATTTCACATCGTTAGGCATTGTAATCGAGAACCTGATAAGTCGTACACAAAAGAGAATTGAAAGATTGTAATTTGTCAATTAATTAATTTTATCGAGGTGGAGTAACTGTACGGTTTAATACTATTGTATTATAACTTTGTTGAATGCTGAAATGAAAGTTATGGGAAAATATTTAAACAAAATTCTACATATTTCTATTGAAGAAAATGAAAGGGTCAAGAAAGCAAGTGTTGAGGAAATTGATGTTGCACAACTCCAACAAAACTAAGAAATTTAATGATGGGATATTAAATATTCGAAATCAAATTAGAATAAACTCTAGAGAATCTGAAATTAACATTATGTGAGTATTTGAAAGATATTGCAAACTCTCTAACCAAAAGAATCAATGTTTTTTTTAATGACGGGAAACTCGCAGCCGCTATCCTTCGAGTGCACACTGGGCAAACTCTCGGACTAACGCAATTGCCTGCGAACCATGCCAGACAGGTGTGCACTAGGCAAGTCATGTGACAGAATTGATCGAGAGAGTGTTAGTAAGGGGAATCGAACTCGTAATCAAAGGTCTCTACGCTCACCTACTTCACCAACTCGGCCACCCCATGAGAGGTCAGAAAGAATCAATGTTAGTGTAAAATACGTTGGTGCCATATTCTTTCCAATTTTAGTTATATATCTTGAGATGTCTCAGTAAAGAAGTAAATAACTGTTATTCTACATTATGCGAATTACAACATTTTTATTGGAATTGAGTACGTTTCCATCACAACTAGCCTTTTGATAAATTAATTTCAAGATGTCGGTTGAGTATGTATAAATTGTTAGGCCAAAGTTATACTGGGGCAAGCAATATTAAAGCATATTTATATTAGTCAAAAGAGAATCTCTATCCTTCGAAGTATATTATTTTGCTCACCAACTTCAATTTGGCTTTGTAACTAGAGTTTTGCTTGCTGTTGAATGTTGAAGGGACTCAGAGAAGAGTGGAAATAGTCTTAGATAGGAGATCTCACTAACACTCTTGACTCACTGCCAAATGCTCCTTCTTGTGCGCTAACACTGGAAGGAAGGGTTTTGGGTGGGAGAGAGACCACTAGAAGACTTATTCGTTTAGATAGAGATAACAGAGCTATACATCAAAAATATTGAACTCAGTATCCCCCAGGCTTTCACAAATTAAAAAGTGACGAATTCAAAAAAAGTTGCAAATTAAAAAAAAAAAAAAAAAAAAGAAGAAGAAAAGAAATGTGACCCAAATTTAGCATTATTACAACGCAAGAGAATAATTAAGGATTTCAGTCAAAAAGTTCACTAAAGTTGAAGAAAATGTTTACAATCTATGGAATCATTCAAAAGAGTTTTGAAAACTTGGGCCATTTTTCCTTTTTTCACTGCTGATTGATCCTTCTTAAAAGCTACTTAGATGTTGCAAATTGCATCTACAGGAATACATCCAAAATTCTAAATAAGGACGCGTCCAAAGTTTGCAAACCAGAGAGCTACGTTCTCCCATATATGCACACACTCACCAGCAATGAATTACTTTCAAGTTGAGATGAGAAAATTCAAGCAAAATAGTGAAACACAAGGAAATACACCTTTTAAGTTTCACGAAATCAATACTCTGGCTAATTGGCTTTCTCAAAATAATAGAACTGCATTCAGCACACAATTCCTCGCCCATTTCATAAAAAAACCACACAATTGACACGAAATGAAAAGGTAATAAAAACCGAAATGAAGAGAGGAAGAAGTGTCTCAGGGTCCAAAAGTAACTCGAGAGCAGGGCAAGCGTAGAAGTGGAGAGAGGGAGGGAATATGGTGTTGAAATCTGACATGATCTCTTGAACAGTCCTTTCTTCTCCACCATGGAGCAGCCTCAAAAGCTTCCCAGCGTTCTCGAACCCAATCATCACCTCGTTTCTCTCTGTGCGATTTTTGATTTATTTTGCTTTGTTAGAATGCGCAAAAATGCCCAACTGGAGGGTGGGGGGTTTGGATTAGGGCGTATTAATTACGGTCGATAGAAGTTTTAATTTATTTGAAGTGTATTAATCCAACTTGTCACCTTTTTAGAGTACCCAGCCTAATTTCCTCTTCTGTATTTACATAGTTTTAGTTGAAAATTTTTTATTCTTTGCTATTGCTCCTGAGATTGCTTTACAGTATTTGCTTATTATAGTCACCTTGTTTTGTTTACGAGCTTACAACTCATTTGTACTGCATGAATAACCTTAAGAATTAAATTACAATTTTTCTAAGGTAAGTGGAACAAAGTGATCAGTCTGCTTTTCATGTATAGTTTTACTCTATATTAGCTACATATTACAATAGCAATTAATCTTCTTAATATTTCGAAAGGACTTACCGACAGTACCATGTACTCAAGATTTATCCGGTGAAGTGTGCTAATCAATTGTACTATGAGACATGATAATATAGATCTCCCGAGAAGGAGAAAACTCAGTGATGCATCATGCAATTGACAGCATGATTGTGTGCAAATTCAGCGTGAACAAATTTTCGATCCCAAGACTTGACATTGATCATCAACAAAGCTATGAAGCAAATCACTGAGGGAATGGTTTTGGCCATCAATTTGGGAATGATAAGCGCAGCTAAAGGATGTATCCAATATTCTCTTTAGTTAAAAGTACTTTTCACAAAATAACTTTTCACATAAAAGAAATTAACTAGTCTTCCGAATACGTTTACAAATAAAATGTTCTTTAAAAATAACTTCACTTTTTTAAGCATAGCCAAACATATTCAAACTCAAAACATATCCCTCATTATATAAAATTTAATACATCCAATTTTTTTTGTGATCAATGGTACATTGCTACTCTACTACTTTATTTTTCTTCTGGATTAGAAAGTAGGGGCTTTCTCTGCCGTCCATCCTCCAAATCTGCTGCTATTTTCTTTGAAGCTTTAGGATTACGATAAATTGCATAGAGTACTAGCTGAGACGTACCAAGTACAAATCCTATAGCATTTGGTACCTGTCAAATTTGCACAATTTTAGAATGATCAAGTTTACTTATAAGTAAGTTTACTTGAAGTAATAAAGTGAGTTTGCGAGTAAACAAGTATTTTGTTAATCAAATATAGCAATAAACACGCTCTTCATTTTGATGCTGTCACCCATCGTATTATTTAAATAAGTAAATTTCTTAAATTATAATAATTAGGAAAAGAACTAAAATACCAACACTTCAAAAACAAAATTATCAATAAGTAGGTTTAAATTACTTAAAAGTTAAGCCAAACACATTTAATATTCTCATTCCTATCTGCCTAATTGGATTAGCTTGTTTTGTTATGCTTAAAATTATATTCCTAAAAACAAATAATAATAATAATAATAATAATAATAATAATAATAATAATAATAATAATAATAATAAATGTTAACGCGTCTTATAAACTAAAAAACTGATTTAATCAAATAAGTATCATAATCATTGACATAACTTCATCCGAAAATGCTAGTTATTGTTAAGTTGTGAAGTCTAATTATAACTGCTACATGAAATCTGTACAATTTTAGATAATCACCATCAAAAAGAAAAAAAGATCAGGTAAAATAAGTTGTGGAAATATTTCTCCTGTAAGCTTTTTTCCCCCCCATTATAATGAATTATTGCAACAACGAAAGAGGACATTGTCTCAGCATTGAGCTGGACCTTTATAAAAATTGCATGCACTTTTGTGTCTTTTTTCCTTACTGATAAATTAGAATTTCTAATTCCGAATAGCTACAAGCTAAGATAATATAGTGTAAACGAAAGTCGCTCTCAAAATCACAGCAGAACAACCTGGAAAGAGTCATATCATACATGTACTTACAAGTTGAGTGGCCTATATTTTTCCACCTCTGATTCCTCTTATATACTTTCTTCCTAACGGGTAGTTGGAGCATCTTGTTTGAAATTAAATGTTTTGATGATAAGAGGGTCCAGAGGCCAAAATCACTTGAATAATATGGGGCCAATGAAAAATACGAAGCAAGTTGATATTTGTTAGTAATAGTAAAAATTGACCATAAATTCAGGGTCCAGGTTGTCTCTCTCATGTCCACCAACCACAAATAGCTACCTTATTATGCCAAAAGGCACAAAACCCTAACTCAAAATCTTGAGGAACAATCATGTAATGTATGCAACAATTGGAAGGGTCGTTTTAAAATCTAGCACGACCCTTTTTATATTGCTAGAGTTGATTAAAACTATCAACGGGTCACTTCAAAAGTAGACAATTGAACAATCTTTGATTTATGACTCTAAAAGTAAGTATAAGAGCCTAGATTCGAATCGGTCTAAGTTGTAATTTATAAAATAATTTCAAATTTCAGTTTTTCCAGAAATAATTTGATTGATTGTATTTCTTATTTTTTATTAGTCAATAGATAAATCTAATTAATATAAATAAATTCAACTAACCTCATTTCTCAAGTCGCAAAGGATAAAGTGATCTAAATTGAACTAGATGAGATACCATTTGACTCGACTCAAATTTTTTAATATAAAATTGGATCAAGATAAAGAATTAATAAGTTAAAATCTAGTCAATTCTACCGTTCAATCCCATCCATATCAACTACCAAACCTATCTTATAAATGCACATTTTTAAAAATTTAAAAAACTAAAAAACAATTAAATAGATGGTAAACAAAAATATTATAATTTTCAGAATTATGCCATTTGTACATTATGGTATCCATAAGGGTGTTCATAATGGAGAAGTGACATAACATCAATGGAGAGTTGAAAATTAGTTTTTTCAACCCTCCAATTATGGAATTTCACATGTATATTATGGATACCGTAATGTAAATATATAATTGTCCTAATTTTCGTCCCGTCTCCCAAAAATACTTGACGAAATGGGGATGTGGCCCAATATTTCCAAACATTTTACATTGCCTAAATTGGTAGTCCTACACATTGAGAGCGAAACCCCAAATTTGAGGTTGTGGATTATTTAAATTGTCGGCCGAATATTGACAGGTCCTAAATCAATATTAGTTCTGCTGTTGGTCCAGGCCTTGGGACAACTTGTCCCCAGGACTGGACCAATTGCTTTATACTCAATATTGTTATTTCCATTTTGTACTTATAAATTGTATTAACTTTTAAAGTTCCTATTAAGTAAACTTACCGATTAATTCTATAAATCATTCTTAAGTAAGAACTATTATAAACAGTTACATATTTGGTAAAACTTGTTTTATACGCAAGTAAAGGACATAACCAATTTAATTATTAAAAAAATTAATATAGTTTTGTGTTTTACTTGTAGAATTATTATTTTGTAATAATTTTCATAATATAGACTAAATTTAATAGTAAGGGAATGTGAAGAACTTACTCCAAGGAACCAGTCGTTTACAAGGCATGCATAGAGAGTCCAAATTCCTCCATTTAAAAATAGGAAAAATGACAGAAGAAATGGCATATACTCCACACTCTTCATTGTCACCACATTTTTCTGCACATTTCAATATGCAACTTGTTAAATTATACACACACACACACACACTCACAGATAAATCTCATTTTTTCTAATAACAGTAACAATGATAAATTGTCGTGTAAGTATTGATGAAGAAAAACTTTTCTCAAATTAAATGGTTCAAATTAAACTTTTCTCAAATTATATGGTTCAAGATGATTGGGTTATAAGGATGATCACTAAACTTGTTTAGTGTTGCTTACCAAACACTTATACTATTGTATAAAGTATTCATTTTGTAAGGTAAAAGAAACCTTCAAATCAATTCATATCTTGTTTTATAAGTTTGACAGTGCAACACTTAATTAAGAAGAAAAAGAAATTAGATAAAATATTATTTATTCTTTTGTTCACTTCTATCAAAAACGATATAAATATCTTTCGACTTAACTTGTTCTTATTTATTATTATTATTATTTTTTATAACATAACATATACAATTCTCATTCGGTTTAATTAAAAAGAATGATAATAATCTAAGTTAAAATCATCAATTAATGTTAACCACACATTTCATTGGCCCACAACTATTCAACTACATATTTCATCAATTTTTATCAAAATCTACTACAAATATGATTTTTAGCAAAATCAGACAGGTGCTAAGAAAAAAGAAGAAACTAAAATCTTATATTGTTGTTCAGTTTGGTCAAATTTATGCATACCAAATGTGCTCTCAAGTTACTTACCATAGCTGCAAGAGGTGAACCATACATGATAACATTTAGGCCTGAACATATAATACCAGTTACATCGATCCTTATGTCCCCTTGCAGTAAAAAATGTATTCCTGCAATTGCTGCTGCTAGAAAACCAACATCCAGAATTGCAGCAAGTATTGCCGTTTTAGCCTGTCACAGCATCATTAATGAAAATCATCAAATTAAAGTACAAAAATTTACTTATTTTCAACTTCAAAATTCAAAAGAATGATCAATTAGTACTCTAAAACTAACTTATACCAAGCAAGAGAACCATGGATTACCCTGTTCTTTGGAGGTGCAAATACAAGAAACAAGAAGACATATACGGTCTCAACAACCACACCAAAACCATTAACAGTAGCTACAAGATAACTGTCTGGCTTTATGATTCCATAGTAAGTCCAAAGTGATGAACCCAGCAGTGTGCAAATATAAGGAAGAGACTCAAATTCCTGTGTTGATCTGTCCTTCACAATCCTCCAAAATGTCTTCCTACAGATTAAAACATTATTTTTCCAAGAACTTATCATCTCTCTCTCAATCAAAAAGAGTGCCTGTATATGTATAGCTTACTTACGCTGGAGAGAGAAACATAAGAATGGAGATTATGTTGCCTGCACAAATATTATATTTCAACAAAAGATTGATTAATACTCAGTATACATAAGAGGTTCTTGATTAGATTCTTGTCACGGGTGAAAACCTCTTAGTCTCATTGTAGCTTTCCGCTAGCAAATACCTGCACAAAGAGAAAGTCGTTGTTTCCATTCTCCCTCGATCGTCTTCTCTTTGTGCTATAAGGAGACAGCAGAGGAGATTTTTCACCCATAACAACAATATAAATGGAAAATTCTTAAGATAATTGATACCTATGATACCAACAAAGAAACTTAAAGCCTCCATGATGAGGGAAAAATTTTGTAGGTAAGGAAGATGGGGAAGATATGAAGAAGTTTGAACTTTGAAGTTTGCCTTCCCTATTTTTTTTTTTTTTTTTTAGCCTATACAAAAGCTAATGATATTTTTTCTTATCATATGGCCCATTTCTAACTATAAAAAAATTCCAAATATCTCGGTGTGATGCATGAAGGATTATATATACATAATTTATTCAATCAAATGCTTGTTTCTAGCTTCTCCTAATTTGAAGTCATTTCTACTTAACTTCTCCTAATCCCTGTTTGACAAAGACTAAAGTCAATTAACCACAAAATATGTGGTTTCACAACTTTTTAACAACACATTTCATCAACTTCTATCAAAATCTACTAACAATCTGATTTTAATCCTCATCAAATAGAGGACAAATTTCAAGTGTGGTAGTTTATTTTTATTTTATTATTGTAACAAATAATAATGTATAGTTGAAATGTGGAATTTTCCATCTCGATGAACTCCTAGTTGATAGACTTTTGTTACAAAGTTGAATTTCTTTTGTCCATGTCATGTAGATTTTTAGCATGTTTGGTAAATAAACTTATAAACTCTCACAAAGTGCGTATTAAGCCCCCGTTTGACCCCCATTTTTTAGAAATGAAAATGGGTGGAATAATATTTTTTGAAAAATGAGTGATTGAAAAAGAAAGAAAATATTTTGATTTACGTGTAATATTATTTTATGAAAGATTATATGGTTGAAAAATAGGAAAAAGAAAAATGAAATGAAAACCAAACAAGGACTAAAAGACCGGCCAAATAAGTCGTCACTTAGATGTAGGGTCCATAATTAGCTTTTCTTTTCTTCACACATTTTTGTGGGCCTTACTCCTCATAAAATAATATCACCTTTGTTGCCAAACATGTGATGACATCTAAATAATATTAACATACACCATCATGATACTCGAAACCCTAAGAAAAATTCCCACAAAATCATTGAAGAAGAAAAGGTTTGGTCAAAAATGAAGCAAGGCATTGGCGTTCTACTCTTTCAAACTTGTTTAAAATTAACCCATTCAAAATGGTCAACAAAACTAGCGGATTTTACGTGAGTCAAAAATAACATTTCTGTTGTTAAATAATGAGACAAGGGTTCTCTTTAATAATTAGTAACTTTTATATAAATAGCCGAAAGAGTTAAAAGGAAAAGAAATAATTCCCACCCTTGTCTGCCTACACTCGTGACCTCATCTAGTTGCATCCTCCGAATGCCAACCTCGACCTCGATCTTGACCCCATTTTTCAACCTCGTTCCCTGTTCATCTTCCACTCGATTGGGATGACAATTTAAGGTAGGGGACATAGTTTTTTTTTTTTTTCTCTCTTATTTTATATTTATTTGAAAATAGGAGTAAAATAATCTTTTCAAGTAAAACCTTGTTCCTTGCACTTCACATGACTTTTAAATGGTTAAATTGGACAGCGGAATCCAACAAATTCATTGTAAATAGAGGAAGCGCACTCATCGTATAAAATTTGATACATAAAAAAAAAAAAAAAAAAAAAAAACTTTTAAATTATACAAAAAAATAAAAAAAAAATAATAATATAATCTCCTTGTTGTCTTTCATTTTCTGGAACAGAAAGTAGGGGCTCTCTCTGCCGTCCTTCCTCCAAATCTGCTGCTGTTTGCTTTGATGCTTTAGGATTATAATAAATCGCATAGAGCACTAGCTGGGACATACCAAGTACACATCCTAAAGCATTCGGTACCTGTCAAATATGCACCATTTCTATTTTTTTAAAAGAAAATATTTAAACAATTAAACATGTTAATCTGGGATGCGCACCTCATGTAGAACCTCTACACCATAAAAGGAGAGATTAAGGGCTCGACTTTTGCTTCTTATCGATTACCTTGGATCAATTTTTATTTATTTTAGATTTTTGTTGAAAGCCATATGAAATGAATCCTTTATAAAAAAAGAAAGATTTTTAATTAGTGATTTTTAGAAGAATACGTGATTAAAAAGAATGAATTTTTTTCGTATCCATATAAAGTATTTTATTTTATGAATGTATCGTTAAAAATGATCATGTAGGGTGTGAGTTAAGCTAGACAACGAAAGTCGTAATAACAAATCTAATGGTTACAAATCCGTGGCTAGGAAATTTTCAGGTGTGCTGATGGTCTAAAGGGTAGTTGCATCGTCCTGTCCGAAATTGATTGTGCAAGCACAACGTGGTCCAGAGGTCAAAAACCACCTCAAATTCATGGGGCATTATTACATATGAAGCCAGTTGATATTATTAGTATCAATCATCTAAAAGGACCATTCCTGTTTGGGTGGGTTTACAAGCTTGCTCATTATACTAGTAAGGAAGAGATAGAGAAATTTGCTTCATCACCAACCACAATCATCGATCTAGATTTTTTTTCGAAATAGTATCACTCAACAAGAATTATATGAATACTTTAATTCTAATTTGATCATTGTGGGCTCTAATTCAATATGGAAGTTTGAAGTTTTATCTTAAAATATCCAACTTTGTTATGGGAATAGTAATAGTTTATATGTTACGATGCGTTTGATTGTAAGTATGAAATTTACATGGAAAAAAATAAATTTTAGGTAATTCAATTGCCTAGAACTTATTTATCAAATTAAACGTGTTTGATTGATTTAGTCTCTGTTTGAGTTCCTTTTTTTTGGCAAAAAATATATTTTTAAACAGTGTTTTGACATTATTTAAACAATACATTCTTCAATAAAATAATATTACACTCAAATCAAAAAAAAATTCTTATTATAACAAGAGTTTGTTATAAGTAATTTTTCTTAACTTTCAAATGCCATATAATTTTATTTTATAAAGAAAAATAATTAATTTGTTTTTTTGAATATATGGATGTCTCATTTAAATTAATTAAATTACATTTTGATGGTGAAGTAAATGTTATTCTCACTAAAATAAAAAAATATAGACTTGAAACTAAAAGCGGGTGGGTTGTTTTGGTTTGGTGCAAATATAATGAGAACTAAATACCAAAGAGAATTTGATATATGTGAAAGGTAAGGGTAAAAATTGTATCGCCTAGAGGTGGTTATGGCTAATAGAACTTGTGAGGGAGATAATGAAATTTAGACGTCGACTAATGAAAGAGCTATTGTTGGGGATATCGTAAGCTATCATCAACTAGATTATGAATGTTGATTGTCAACGAAGAAAATGTCTATCGCCAACATAAGTTATTACTCTTTATATACTTTGTATTATTTTTAACAAGTTATACCATTAACATTCTATCAGTAACATAATTTTTTATTTATAATATTTCTTACAGTAAGTTATTCCCTGATAAAATTTTCTGCAATTAGTAATTAGTTGTTTTACTTTATTATTTTACTAATTGAAGAAATTTCTGTCGATAAATTAAAATTATCAAAAATAAAAAATAAAAAATTCTTATATTATTATCTGAAAATCCATTCATAATCTTCAATTGTTATTAATTATGGATGAAATTTTTTGTAATTATTACCTACGAAGACTATATTAACTTTAAGTATTAGTTTTAATTTCTATTTTGCTATCTATAGAATTCTCTGTGATCAGTACATTTGGTCAAAATTGAAATAAGGTAATTATTGGAGTTCTCCTCTTTGAATCCCTGTTAAAGGTTACCCTATTCGAGTAGGCCAGGATTATGAGAGCATTCTATCTAGAGAAAGGATTAACAACCTTTTTTTTTTTTTTTAATACCCAGGTGTCCACCTTACAACGACTAATTTTGGAGCCTACGATTCAATCCCTCTTCACGCTTACCAAGTAAATCGCAGGTTGTGTCCCAAATTGGTCAGGGTCCAAGAGTCCTCCGAACTGAATTGTCAAAGTGCCGAGCAAGTCAAACCCATGTATGCGTCTTGCCTTCTAGGATTAACAACTTTATTATGATAGAAAATGGCCGACTAACTTTTACATTTTTTTATATATGTAGGCAACCTAATCTCGAATCTTTCATAAAGAATATTTTGCAAAACAGCAAAGCAGAGTGGACCAAAAATGTCTTTCACTCGATGGCCCTCTGACGTGTGAATTAAAATTCATTGGATCATTCCTTTACCAATTTGCTATTATTTTATAACTCAAAAGTGCACGTCAATTTAATTAATAACTTGCAATTTCCTATTCTATTTAATTGTCGGCAGTTCAAGCACGAATCACATGGCATATATTTTAAGAAAATTAGTTCATGCAGTATCCTATCTTTTTGTCAATCTGAATTTGATCTCTATTAAATTTTTAGTGACGTGATTTATCTCCTACACTTTACATTTTCATAACACTTAGAGTGTGTTTGATTGACATGGAAAATATTCCCTAAAAAAGAAAATATTTTCCATCTTTTGTGGAAAATAAAAACCACCTCTACCTAAGGAAAATATTTTCCTTAAAAACAAGGAAAATTAGGTATATTTTCAAAAGTTGGAAAATGTTTTCCATGGAAAAAAATAGCAATCAAACACTCCAAAGTGAAAATTTGGATGGAAAACTAATATTTTCCATGGAAAATAAATGTAATCAAACACACCCTTAGCTCCTCACTAATTTCCATCCGACGACCAAAAAAATTACGTACGTGAACATGAAATAGTGTCAGAAGGGTAAATATATTAGCATAAATATTTGACACCTCTACTTTTTGACGTCTCCAATCCGTTGTCCATCCTTCCATATGTCCGAAGGCAATTTCTAGGGACAGGAATTTTATTCCTTTTATTTTTGTTTGAAAATGAAGATATGATTGTTGTCTTACTTAAAAACTCTAGTTAAGTGCATTTCACATGATATTTAAATGATCAAAATGAATGGAAACTGTTAACATGACCCCAGTTGCTATGAAAATAAAAAGGTTGGAGATTCATGCAAATAAAAATTAATTGAATACCCATGTGCTATATCTCATTCTTTTCTTTTTCTTTTATTACAACTTGTTTGGTTTAAATATGAAGAATATTAATTATTGAGAAAGCCATCTAATTTTTAATTGTCCACTAGTTAGTCATGGAATTCACGATGTTAATAGCCTAGGGATTCACCCATTTTTAAATTCCTGGTGATTACCTGGAAAGATATTTCAAGGATATGGTTTTTAGATCATTCTTTGG